CGGTCAAATATTAGTTAATATTCCCTTGTTTAAAAAGACCTACGAACAAAGCGAAAGGGTCAATACAAAGCAGATCGAATGAACCCTATCTCTTCGTTTGTATTTCATAACGCAGATAGCTGCAATAAATGACATATTTATACCAGATATTGCTTCAAACTGGTCTGAAGAGCAGACAAACAACAAAGAATGCAACACAGTAAGAGTGCGAGGGGGTCTGTGAGTCAATGTATTCACAACACCTTAAAACTTCTGAGACAAATCCTGTCCATCTAATACAAGCACTTGTGAATTGAATCTTTTTAAGGCCCTGTTAGTTCGTCGCTAGTTCGTTTTTCCTGTGGCACAATAGCAAAGATTTCCATGTACCGCGAAACCTGTATTAAGGTCCGGTAATACGGGCAACATTTTTCTTCAACTTATTGTTGCATTGCAAGTTGAAACACATTATTGCGCGTATTACCATGTTGCAAGTCTGCGAATTCTTTACGTTTCATTGGTCAATCGTGTGTAAATAAAGATGGCGCCTTTTATATAATTTATCGTTTCGACGAACTTCCACTTCCACTTCTGGCCGTCATTTTCTTCTTAATTTTCCGTGCCAGCAACGTTCTCTCAGTATGAGGCTTAGTGTCGTTTTAGAACAAAATAAAGTTTTGTTGTCGTAACAGATAGCTAGGCCAAAAGTTGTATTTCTGCAACAGTTCTTCCAAGCCTTTTGCCTGTTTTGCCGCTTGTTTTGAACGGACAAACGAGGTGCCCCAACGACTATGATAGCCCTCGAGGTTTTTGCACAGGGGAAATTTATTACTTTCCGAGAGTTACTGGCCTACTTCGAATTCAGGCTCGTCTTTACCGTCCACCATGATTTTTTTGGCCGCGTTGCCGCGCTTTGCGACAGCCAATCACAAGAGTCGAATTCAAATTGTTGCGAGACAAGTTGAAGCCTCAGTGGTAATACTAGCAGCAAAACTAAAATTTGTTGCAGAAAGTAGAACTCGAGTCTACTTTGCGCAACATATTGCCTCAACTTGCAACACTGTATTTTGCTGCGAGACAAGTTGGTCACAAAAGTGGTAATACGCGCYACAGAGTGTTTCAACTTGCAATGCAACAATGTTGCGAGACAAGTTGAAGAAAAATGTTGCCTGTATTACCGGACCTTTAAGTCTCGAGTCTAGTGAACAAAGATTCAGCAAAGATATTTGCCTCTCACATAAGATTTAATAAAGGGCCGGTGAACACAATTTTCCTTAAACCAAAGGCAAAGTACATCACTATCATACGGCATCCAGTAAGCCAGTTTAAATCTGCTTGGCCTTGTTACCATGATTCCACTAGGTTTACCGGAATTTCATCATCTGACGGTCCTTTAAATAGATTTCTAAAGTCGCCAGGTGCTTTACAACAAATCAGGAGAAGACTTTCTCAAGCCAACGTATATGGAAAATATAACCATATTTCAAACGCAAACTTGTCATGGGTCTTGAGCAAGAAAATTTACAAAACATGGCATTGGTTAAGAGATACATCGACAAGATGGAGGAAGAGTTTGACTTGGTGATGATAGCGGATTACTTTGATGAAACACTGATATTACCTAAACGATTGCTGTGCTGGGAATTTGAGGATATCGTTTACGTTAAGTTAAGAGTGCAGAAAAAGGAACTAGAGTTTGAAGAAGAGGTGAAGAAAAAAATTCTAACTTGGAATCGTGCAGATGTCATTCTGTTTGATCATTTTAATAAAACTTTCTGGAGAAAAGTTCAACAAGAGGGGCCTTCATTTTATGAAGATTTGAAAGCATTTAGGAAAATAAATCAAGATTATCAAGCAATGTGCGAGTCCATCGAATATAAGAGCGAAAAATGCATGTTGTCAAAGAGTTCACCATGTAATATACTTGAACTGCTGTGGAGGCGACGTGGCAACACTCTTAGCGGAGCACCAGCGCTGGAAGTCGACTTAATTAGATGCTAAAATTTGGCAAGGACACCTTCATTTAAATCATGTCGTAGAGATTTTTAGAAAATATTAAGATGTTAAGAAAATTCAAGGACATTTAGAAATATTCATACCGTTTTCTTAGCTTAGCCCTGTGTTTTTCTTGCTACATGTATTTTCTTGAAACAATTCTGACTCGTGCTATGCCGGAAACAGTCCAGCTCAGTGAATTCTCACTCGAAAAATGTATTGCGTATCACTAAAAGCGCCGGCTAAAGCAGCAATTTTGGCGGATGCTGGTAACGTCGAAGTGCCTGAATATTTTTCCTCAACTCCTACAACTGCAAAACGTTTTGGTCAAAGTGATTCAAAATCGGTGCAGCATTTTTCGACCAAAATAAGAGATATTTATTACTAGGGAGATGGCCGTATACGCATTATTCCAAAATTGCCGCCATTTAAGTATTCTTTTGTTTACTTGCAAATTAGCCCTTTTTGCCTCGCTCTTAAACTCGAAATTCAAAAGAATATTTTTCCCTTAAACGAGGTAACAAGGGCTCATTTTCAAGTAAACAAAAGAATGCTAAAATGGCGGCCATTTTGGAATAAGGTATATTTTAGAGGTAGAAATGATATGAATTCTGATTTGGCTGGGACCAAGTTAACAATAAAGGTCTCCGTCTTATGAAGATCTCCGAGAGGCGAGGCTTGACTGTATATGTATCTCTGATTGGCGACAAAACGTTTTAGAGCGGCTTCTTGTGAGTGTCGAAAGGTAATTGCTTTTAATTTGCGTCAACTACGCTACACGATTGGCTGATAAAAATCACGCCACTTTTAATCCAATCCGAAGTAAAATGAAAACCAATCGTGACTTGTTCTCGCACGTTTTCCCGCACTTTGCGTCAGCTCGATGTATTTACTTCGAATCTTGATTGGTTCACCAGATTGTCTGTGTCCTTTGTGATTTGCTAGAGCGATATTATTTTGGCTTTGGTTTTACGACACAATTGAAAATTGCTCTTTAATCCAATCAGTCTAATCAGTTGACGGGCTGCTTGTCAACGAGGTATCACGAAAAAGAATTACACTTGAGACTATAGAGTAGGGCATTTTTAATGTTAGTGCTAATATTTGATTTACATTAATTAAATGTGTGTAGCTACCAAGACTGTACGAGATGTCCTTACTGCGCCATTAATTAAATTTGATTTGCGTATTGGTTACACTATCACAGGTTGACGAATACAATTATATAAATGACAAATATGCTAAATTTACATGAAGATCTTCTTCCTTTCTAAAAGAAATCTACAAGATGTTACTAAACTTATCTTGTTAACTGGCTAAGGGCAGGCCACTGCAATGTAGTGCAAATTGACGCACGCACCTTCGTAATTTTCTCAGTCATACAATTTTAAAAATGAATAATAATACGAGAGCTTGAGCAATTTCTCGAAATATTTGAAAATTGTTTCAAATTGCACTCGTTTAATAATAGTATCTTTACTAAGTGGGAAGCTGCTAGTTCAATCTGACGTTGTCAAGCTACAGAAGGCACAACCACCGTCCTGACTGCTACAGCCACTGCTACTGCTAAACGAGACCTCCGACAACTGCGACGGCGACGGCGACGGCAACGGCAACGGCAACGTGGGTTGAGCGGGGCAAGGTCATGTTGGCGTTCCTGCCAAAATTGAGATAAAGAATTTTACGAGCGAGAACCTGGACGAGGCCATTGATGTTTTACCATGTTCTAAGTCAGCGAAAAGTTTTTAAACCCATGCCAAAGTTTCGTGAAACTATTCACCAGGCTCACGCTTCCCGCTTGATTAACGCTGAAGAATTTTGTGATTTATACAAGCCTGAAAATCCGGATTTACCCCACACCAGCTACGAGTACCTCGGCCTCGACAAGATGAAAGACGATGTAAAATAATTGCTGCTTATTTGATGTAGTCAGGAATTCGTCGATGGAACTGTTCAACGCTTACGTAGCCAGTGAGGTCCTTAGTATAAATGACCATTAGCTGAATGGAAAGAAAAACACTTTGAATCAGTCGAATCTAGTACCATTGCTGACAAAATCTTTCCTTCTTTCCCAGTAAAACCAAAATAAAAATTAAGCTTAATTAGCTTGAATTGTTTTCTTTTTTTGCCTGGCTCTGTTGGTTTACATTTCATAAAAGATCATTAAGTATCGTTTTACCCTGATTCCTTAGCCGTGGTTAGGTAGAGAAGTACCACGTTTTCGTACAACGTCAAACAAGGCTTGTTGACGCGTGAAGGGAAACTGCCGTCTCAGAATCTACTCATGCGCAGTACGCAACCGGAAATAAGAAAGACTCACGTCGCCGTCGCCGTTGTCGGATCGTAAGGTCTCTAGCACTACTGCTACTGCCACTGCCACTGCCAGTGCCACTGCCAGTGCCAGTGCCACTACCACTACCACTGCCACTACTACTGCCACTGCCACTGCCGCTGCCGCTGCCGCTGCCACTGCCGCTGCCACTGCCACTGCCACTGCCACTGCCACTGCCACTGCCACTGCCACTGCCACTGCCACTGCCACTGCACTGCCACTGCCATTGCTATTGCCACTGCCACTACCACTGCCACTGCGATCGTGCTGTAACTGGCCAAATAAACAGTGAGAAGCCCTGCATGTCGGTACCATTTCTGACTAACTTTAATCACAGCTAACTGTGTAATCAAATCCTCAGGTCCAAATAATTTTGGCGAGAGGAAATGGTGTAGATTATGTAGATTATGCAGATCCAATAATATTTAGGTCGACGTGAATACTGGATTTTAGATATCAAATATTTAAGGTCTGTTCAGGACTACGCAGGAGAAATTTGAAAACACAGCTTTTTTCTGGGTTATGGGCCTACCGTTCACGAACGGAGCTTTTCAAAAACGTTCATCAAACCGGAGTAATTTGAAAACGCCGGTTCTGCGTTTAATATTAATTAGTGTAGACAGAGAACATTTTGAAAACGGAGCTCTTCGGAAACGATGACGTTACGATAACCATGTGATTTCGCAGCCCGAGTTTTCCTCAGAAACCAAAATGAAATCTAAAACGACCGCTGACTGTTGGACGGAAAACATTTGACGCTTTTTCAGAGTGAAAACACCGTTTTCAAATTTCTCCAGCGTTGTGAGGACGGGGCCTAATAAAGAGTCATGCGCTCAGGAACTTCATGACGCCAGACTTTTGAAACTCAGCAAAGTTAACACTGATCCGTTAGCGGGCGCGCTGGAGGCGTCTGTTTCTTGGGTTCCTCTTCCTGTAGTAGAGCTGTGTTGTGACTTTCTGCCAGCGGATAAGCGACGAATACTTTTATAGAATGCTTCTCGGTACTTTACCATGCGCCACGCGTAGACAAACGGGTCTAACAGGAATTTCAGGTAAAGCAGGTTATCCACCATCAGGTTTACAATCAGAGTCTTGACAGAAGGATCTTCCTCCATGAACAGTTTTACCGTCCAATGGACAGCTGATGGCATATTACACATAATCAGCACGGCAAGAAGCATGAAATTCACTCGGACAAAGTTGCGTTGAACTCGGATATGTTTGCGAGCGGTTCTTTTCCCAGTTTGGCTTTCAAGGGATTTTCCTGCGGTCATCTTCTTTTTCATCACACGATGTAGGAGTATATAGAAAGCAATGGTGATAAAGACTAAGAGATAGTTGTGTATAAAGGAATCCATAATATTCTGAACATTTGGAGACACGCCCATCAAGTGAAGGCACCAGAAGATTGCGGAGTAAAGATAGATGACCGCAATACCGAACAAGACTTTCTTCTTTGTGACAAGGCGGCCGTACTTTAAAGGAGATGAAACCACGATGTACTGCGTAAAGGTAAAGGCGAAGACGATTAGAAAGGATGCCGTCATAGCAAAAGCGCTGAGATACCTTCCAGCATGCGCGAAAGGTCCGCATTTCTCTGTCAAAGGATGTTGAAAGTAAACCAACATAAAACAAATGGCGTAAATGGGTTCTTGAGTTAGGGCTGTTAATAAGTCGACAATGGCCAAACCGATCAGGAAGAGTGTTGTTGGGTTGCGAAAAATTTTTAGAGGGTCGACGTAAAATACAAACAGAAGTAGACTATTGGTCAAGACCGTAGTGAACGAGACCACGGCGATGAAGATAGAGGAACCAAAAGCTGCTTTGTAATAATCTTCAAGCGGATTCATTGCCGTTGCTGACTGAAGAATGACCTCTTGGCAAGCAGAATCATTACCAGATCTAGATACATTTTGTTTAAGCTCGTTTGACAAGTTGCTGCTGAAGTTGGCCCAGGAGTTGTTACAGGTTTGATTCATGTTGGACAACGTTTGAAGCTGAGGACGTCTTGATTTCTTATGATGGCAGGTCAGTGCTCAACTTTAAGAACGGAATTTCACAAGGTGTTTCTTTTATACCAGATCACATTCTGCGAAAAGCGACACCTGTGCGCAAAGAGTATTGTAATTTCCTATTTAGATTGTTACTGGCATCCGTTTGAGATTTTTAATTACCTGCTTGCTATTCTTTGGTTTTGTACCTCATCAGTGGCAATAAAGTAATAAATAGGTTCATCTCTTCTGTCTTTATGAGCAAATCCACACAACTTTTAAAAGACTGGCGAACAGAGTGAGCAAAAACAGACGTTAAACTTTTCCCAAGTTTTTTATATTATTTTCCACTGAAAGGAGGCCCTGTATGAAAGTCTTAGGCGCGTTAATCATAACTTGAGATTGAAACAGTGGCCCCTGGTGGTCGTATGAGATATTTGTTTTTCTTTATGTTTATGGTAATTATTTTATAAATTGTGAGTACAAATAAATGGTTGTTGTTGTTGTTGTTGTTATTGCTTTTAATCGTTCTAGGTTGCACGCGATACACCTTCGAAACCCGCATCTGCGCCATAAGACAACCCTGAGGACATTGTGATGTTAGATTTAAATTACAGTGGTTCATTGTGACAAGTGATGAGCCACTGAGTGGTCTTACCAGAAATGAAAAAGCAATATACAGTACAAGGAAAATATCTAAATTAGACAACAGAACAAAAAGATGATCACGAGAAATCGAAAAATTTTATTCGATTTATGTACAAAAGCTCACACAATGAAAATGATATAGAAATGTGGGAATGATATTGCGAACGCACACAGAGGAAAACCTATTTTTGCCCGTTTATATAACAATTTTAAAATAAACGTTTCATGTCAGGAAGACGGATGAGGTTGCAATACGCTAAGGCCGAAAACGAATATATATGATATGAAAAAATTAATGAATTTCTTTTCAAAAAGCGCACAAAACATTTCTTTATGGATTAGAACATTTATGAAAAGAACAGTATGAAATTTTATCAATTAAAAATAAGACATTATGATAAACTTGACCTCGACACAGAGAAAACATCAATTATCATACTTGAACTATTCTTTAAGACACCTTTCACACAGTACATTGTATATACACAATAAATTAAACAATTAGTCAACACGATATAAACCTCGGGCACATTATCTATCATTTTTTCAGTGCAAATCTACTAGTCGTTCATAACTTCATTCAAGTCCTCTTCAGAGACACTTCGAAAACGCGTAGAAGCGACACCATTTTGGTACCAACCGCACGTGGCGTAGCGTAGCCGATAACAGAACTGCATTCGTTATTAAGCGCTAGTAGATTGATACTAACAATATTATATTATATCAACTCACAAAATCGTTCCTTGATAAATCTCCGATAGATTTTTGAAAGTTTGGCAGCATTTAATTAAATATTGACCACGCCTAGCCTGAATAGGGTTAATCGTACCTAGAAAAAGACTTACACTATATAATTGCACCATATACAAGAGCTTCAAGCTCAGCAATCACTAAAAAAAAAAATGGTAATCGATGTCCAACAGTAGCAGTTAAATGTAGTCATGATGTCAGGTCTTTTTCCCAGTAGTGGTATGGCTGCATTCGCATCTATCATCATGACTAAAAAAAATCTGCTATTTACAGACGAGTAGACAGGTAACACACAATATCCTTTCAAGCCGTGTTCGGGGATTGTGTTATCAATGCTTTGAAAAACTTTCTGGGTAGCCAATATTTCAGGAACCTGGTCACACAGACATCGTAAGGAGGAGCATGAAGGGGTAAAATGAGGACTGTGATGTGCCTATTTCTACAAGGAAAGTGGGATTTGGGTCACTGGGATTGAGAATCACAAACTAAAAATGAGAATAGCACTGAGATTTGTCTATTTTTGTCAAGGAAAGTGGGAGAATTGACAACCGCTATCCCAAACATGAGAATGGGACTAAGAATTGCCTATTTGTGACAAGGAAAGTAGGATTTGAATCACTGGGATTGAAAATCACAACCCAAAAATGAGAATGACACTGAGATTTGTCTATTTTTGTCAAGGAAAGTGGGAGAATTGAGAATCACTATCCAAACATGAAAATGGGACTAAGAATTGCCTATTTGTGACAAGGAAAGTAGGATTTGGATTACTGGGATTGAAAATCACAACCCAAAAATGAGAATGGCACTGAGATTTGTCTATTTTTGACAAGGAAAGTGGGATTTGGATCACTGGAATTGAGAATCAGAAACCAAAAAAGAAGATGGGACTGAGATTTGTCTATTTTTAACATGAAAAGGGGAGTTTGGGTCACTGGGATTAAGAAACACAAACCAAAATTGGGAATGCAACTGAGATCTGCCTATTTTAACAAGGAAAGTAGGATTTGGGTCACTAAGATTGAGAATTACAAACCAAAAATGGGAATGAGACTGAGGAGGAAAAGATAAATTTGAGTCCCTGAGATTGACAATTACTAACCAAAAATGAGAATGGCACTGAGATTTGCCTATTTTTACTATAAAAGTGGGATTTGGGTCAATGGGATTGAGAATTACAAACCAAAAATAAGAATGGTCGTGATGTTTTCCTATTTTTGACAAGGAAAATGGGATTTGGGTCACTGGAATTTAGAATCACTGGGCAAAAATGGGAGCAGGTCTGGGATTTTGGCAAAAAAGCCTCACCTGGCAATTTGAGAAGCCATGCAAATCTTATAAAAATTCAGATGAGGGGCAAAATTGTTACTGATCATGAGTATGTAAAACACGAACAGATACCAAATTATTTCCTATGTAAAAGACCTGCTGCTCTAAAACACGGTTTTATGGGAAACCTGTAGCTATTAACTATCACACAGTATTTCAGTCCATGGAAATACTCTTAAAGTCCAGGGTGATGACAGTCTCACGTGACTTGTTCATCTGAGCCATAACGTGATCCCTGAACGTTGACTTGTTCTCCGACTCCTCTCTGCCACAGCGCAGGACAATCCCAAGTGCCTGGCGATATTTGGGAATTCTCCACGCGTACACAAACGGGTCAAGCAGGAATTTCAGGTAAAGCACGTTATCAACCCAGAGATTGATAATAAGAACTGTTGGACTGTTTTCATCTTCGTTGGAGTACAAACGGATAATCCACAACATGGCTGAAGGTTGAGAGGTCAGAAACAAGATGGCAATCAAAAGGAAATTGACAATGATAAACTTACGCTCCACACCCGTTTGCCTATCATTCTTTTCTTCCTCTTGCGTGTTGTGGTCTTCTCGAAGACGCTTAGAAGCGGCCATTTTTTTCTTGAAAGCAATGTACAGGAGGATGTAGAAGATTATGGTCAGATATATCAGGGCGATGGAGTGAAACGTGTTATCAATTTTTTGTTGGATATCTCTGGGGACGCCCATTTCTGGAGATACACTGAACAGTATAGCATAGGCGTAAATGGCTAACACGCAGATGATCACGCGCGTTTTCGTCACCTTTCGCGCGTGATTCAGAGGTGAAATCACCACAATGTACTGTGTGACAGTAAAGGCCAATACGATAAGAAAAGACGCGTTCATGGCAGTAAGCGACATCGTTTGTCCTATGTTCAAGAGATCTGTACATGTTTTAACAGTGTCAGGGTGACGAATATGCATCATTATGAAACATGTGCTGTACATGGGTTGTTGCGTTGCGGCAATGAAAATATCAACGAAGGCAATACCGATCAGGAAATAAGTGGTGGCGTTGCGAAAAATTTTCAAAGGATCAATGAAGAAAACCAGAAGTAAAAAGCCATTTGCCACGACGTTTATAAATGAGACAATGATCATGTAGATTGCGGAACCAAAAGCGAACTTGTAGAACTCGTTGTAAGGATTGACGATGGGTCCTGATGGCGGCGCTGGTATAGGTTGGGGACAGGACGAAACATTTACGGTGAAGTTTGCTGTAGTGTTGCATTCTGACGCTGTTTCAAGATCCATGATACTGGTAACTTTGACTGTTTAAAGTCTAATGGCTCTGTTTCGTGAAAGACAGTTTCTTTTCTTTTATACCTGTTGTGCTTACAAGGGGATAATTCGTTTATTTTATGGAATGAAGGCTAACACTTCAAAAGGGTGTAAGAGTCTCTGTCCAATTCCAACTGTG